TTTTCTCCAAGCACTGCAGATGTTCCTAAGGGCTTCATACTGAGCTATAGACCCAGCTCATTTTTTGATTATTTTGAGAGACAGGGTCTCACTAAGTTAGGAGAGATTCTAGTTTGAGCAAGCTGTGGAGTGCAGCTGAGGTAGCAGAATTACAAGTTCCAGCCCAGCCTGGGCAATTGAGTGGGACTCTGCCTCAAAATAAAAAATAAAGGAACTGGGGATGTTGGGGCTATGGTTCAGTGTTAAGACCTTGGGCTCATCCCCGCTAAAAACAAAACAAAACAAAAACATCCCCAAAGAAACAGAGAGGAAGAGGGCAAGAAAAAGGGACAGAAAGGATTTTGTGTTTACCTATCGTACCAGTTATCTACAGAGGGTACCACGAGCCCAGACTGTGCTGGGTGCAGAGATGCTGTGAGGAGAGGAGCCGCTGGGGCTCACCCACACGCTCAGGTGACCGGGCGGGTGGGAAAGTGCTGGGGGCTCTTAGCTCCCGCAGGTTCAAAGAGGGCGTCTAGGAGGAGGTGACACCAGGAGCCTGAGAAGGAAAGCTGGAGGGCACTCCAGGCAGAGGGAAGAGCACACAGGAGGGTCTCGGAGTCTGGGGAAAGGCTTCATCCTGTGGACACCCTCCCTCCCTCCCTTCCCATTTTTTTTGAGACAAGTTCTCACCAAGTCGTCCACGTTGGGCTCAAATTTGTGATCCTCCCTCCTCAGTCTCCCAGAGTGCGAGATTAAAGATGTAGACCATCTTGCCCCGCTAAATCTCATTCTTTTAAAGTTTTTTTTGGAGACAGGGTCTTACTCTAATTCATGCTGGCTTTGAACTCAGTATGTAGCCCAGGCTGGCCTCAGACTCACAAGAATCCTCCTGCTTCAGCCTCCTGAGTGCTGGGGCTACAGCCTGCACCACCATGCCCAGTTTAAATTCCATTTTAAATGCCACCGCCTCTGAGGAGCCTTCTCTGCATTCATCAAGGCTAAATCACCTACCCTATTACCATCCATTGACTTCCCAGGGCAGGCAATGCTGAAATAATTTTCGTGCTAAGCTTGCTCATGTACTGTTTGGTCTCTACACTGGAGCAGCAGCTGCATGAAGACATGGACAGTGTTGGTTTTATTTTTGTTTTTATTTTTTTCGGTACCAGGAATCAAACTCACAACCTTGCGCATGCCAGGCAGGCACTGTGTCGCTGAGCTAAATCCCCAGCCCCGACAGTGTTGATTTTATTCAGTGTCACATCTTTGGTTAATATTTGCTGGGCCAGACATACACTACTGCACATACCTGTAATCCCAGTAATCAGAAGGCTGAAGCAGAAGGATCAGTATGAGTTAGAGGCCAGCCTGGACTACACAGTGAGTTTAAAGCCAGCTTGAACTATGTAGTGAGACTCTGTCTTTAAAGAAGAAAAAAGGAAATAACAACAACAACTAGGTTTTTTAAATTTTTTTTTTTTTGGTACCGGGAATCAAACTCATGACCTCATACGTGCCAGGCAGGCACTTATGCCACTGAGCTACATCCCCGGTAACAACAACAGTTAGGAAAGACAATGCTAAAATTCATACAGAAACACGGAAGTCCAAGAATAGCCAAAGCAATCCTGAGCAGAAACAATAAAGCAGAAGGCAGTACAATACCTAACCTCCAATTATACTACAAAGCCATAGTAACAAAAACAGCATGGTACAAGCAAAAACAGACATGTAGACCAAATGCATAGAGTAGCAGATGCAGGAAAAAAACCCCCACACCACTACAGCCATTTGATTCTGAACAATGTGGCCTAATACAGATGCTGGAGAACGGGCGGCCACTTCAACAGTGGTGCTGGGAAGACTGGACGCCCATCCGTGGAGGAATGGAACCGGATGCCTCGCTCTCACCCTGTAGAAAATGGAATTCAAAATGGATCACAGACCCAAGCACAAGACCTGAACTTTGAAACTGCCAGAAGAAAACATACAGGAAATATTGGAAGCTGTAGGCACAGGCAAAGACTTCCTGACTAGGACTTGAATAGCACAGGAAACAACAGTAGGACTCAACAATTGAGATCACATCAAATTAAAAAGTTCCTGTGCAGCAAAGGGAAAAACCAGCAGAGTGAAGAGACAGCTGCCCAAATGGGAGATCTTTGCCAGCAGACAGTGGGTTAATATCTAGACTATGTAAAGAACCCAAAGAACTTAACACCATCCTGGCATGGTAGCAAAAGCCTGAAACCCTACTCTGAGAGGCTGAGGTAGGAGAATTGAAAGTTTGAGTCTAGATCAGGCAATTTAGTGACTTACACCCTGTTTTAAAAGAAATAAGTAATAATAATAACAATGGCTGGGTGTTGTGGCACAGGCCTGTTATCCCAGGGCTTGTGAGGCTGAAGCAGGAGGATTTCCTTGAGTTTGAGGCCAGCATGGGCTACACAGCTAGAGCCTGTATAAAAAGAAAACAAAACAGGTCTGGCGGGGCATGGTGGCACACGCCTGTAATCCCAGCACTCGGGAGGCTGTGAGTTCGAGACCAGCCCAGGCCACAAAGTGAGCTCAAGACCGGCCTGAATGGTGTAGGGAGATCCTGTCTCAAAAAGACAAAAACAAAAACAAAACAATGCAGAACAAAAACCAAAATAAAACAAAATGATGCTGGTGATAAAGGTCTGGGGATGTTGCCCAGTGTGAGGCCCCGAGGTCCAACCCCCAGTGCTGCACACAACAAAACAAACAAAAAACGAGGCGTTTAACACCAAAACCCGAATCGTTCAGTCACTAAGGGGCAAATGAGCTGTACAGACACCACTCAAAAGGGGGAAGTACAAATGGCCCTAGGCACAGACAGAACAAAACTGGCCGACATCTTTAGTCATCAGGGAAATGGAAAGCAAAACTGGACTGAGACTGAGACTCACCTCAGAATGCTTGTCCTCAAGTACAGAAACCACAAGGGCTGGTGAGGGTGCGGGGAAAGGGTCCTTCTATGTGACTGATGCGAATATAAGTCAATACGGCCACTATAGGAATCAGAATGGAGCCAAGCGTGGTGGCGCGCACCTGTAATCCCAGCACTCGGGGTACTGAGGCAGTTGAATGGTTGTGAGTTCGAGACCAGCCTGGGCTACAAAGTGAGCTCAAGGCCGGCCTGAACTGCATAGCAAGACCCTGCTTCAAAATAAAAAAAATAAAATAAAATAAATAAATAAATAAATAAACAAACCTGTCATCCTAGCACTTGGGAGGTTGAGGTAGGAGGATTGCTGTGAGTTCGAGGCCAGCCTGGACTCCAGATGGAGACCCTGGCTCAAAAAACAAAACAAAAGCAAAAACAAAAAAAACAAAAACCCAAAATATATATACTTTAAAAAAATTGTGGTATATGTTACTACTCAACTATCAGAAGGAATTAAACACAGACACTGCACATGGCTGAAGTTGGGAAACACACTGACTGAAGGAGTCCACATAAGTCGTCGCAGATTGTCTTATTCAATTTCTAGGAAACACTGTATGGACAGTAAATAGATCCATAGGGGTAGAACGCAAAGTGGTGGTTGCCGGGAGCTGAGGTCAGGAACCACTGAGGACCAGCTGCTTACAGGACACAGGGGTTCTTTGGGGACTGATGAAAATGCTTGGAGCTACATCCAAGTGGAGGTCACACAACAATGCCAATCAACTAAAGGCCAGGGAATTGGTCTTGTGGAAGTAGTTAATCTTAAGCGGTGTGAACTTTACCACATTTTAAAGACAGAAATACTCTATTCTCTGACTACTCCAAAAGAGCCAAGCAGTGGTTCTAAATGAAAGAAACACGAGGCAAAAAGTGTACGAATGAACTTTAATCTTTAAGCGGTGCTACTTCACCGAATTCTGCAAATAGAGGAAACAGCTGACAGCGTCCAGCTGCAGTGAAAGAGTAACTGTCACCAGCTGTCAACCTCTTTTGGTCTATCTTTGAAGACGAGCGATTTCTATCTAAATATATTTTTTCTTATGTTTAGACGGGATTGGAATCCATTTATCAAATTACTTGTTTGTTTGTCCCTCTGCTTCCCAGAGGGAGGCGGCCTCCCGATCCTCAGAGCCAGACGCTAAGTGACAGGCTGCCCAACGATGGGCAATAAGCCAAGTGCCAAATAAGAGCTTATTATTTACCAGCCTATGATATGCCAAACTTACTTGAGTAAAGTAAGCACTCAGGGATTATCTCAGTCCTTACAAAAACAGCCCAGCGGTCTAGGAGTATTATTATTTTTGAGACAGGGTCTGCCTATGTAGTTTAGGCTGGCCTTGAATTCACAGCAACCCTCCTGCCTCAGCCTCCCAAAAGCTTGGTTGGGTTACAGGGATACACCACCACAGCCAGTAATGGACTGTAAGTATTATTTCCATTTTGTGGACGTGGAAACTGAGGTTCAGCATACCTCTCTTAACTCTATGCCACTTACTACTATAGTGCTTATTATAAACCAAACCTCATCTCATGCAATTCTCCCAGTCGGCTTATATAGGGTGGGCATTCCACTGCTTCCAACTTACAGGCGTCAAAACTGCTAAGAGTGACGTCCTAAGGCGTAAAAAGAATGACAGTTCGGGAGGAAAGTCAGTCAGCGACTACAGATTAACCCAGAGCCTCAGTACACTATCCAAGCGCTCGCCACCTCGTCCAGCGGAGCCCTTTTATAGTCTAGCCCTACGGGTCGCGTGCAGGGCCACGCCCAGCCTCGTGGCTGGCGGGCTCCACCCAAACGGCACGCCCTAAGGGAAAACCCACAAGGAGGTGCCTTAGAAGGACCCAGGCGCCTTCACCGTAGTTGTCTTAACTTTTGCCTGCGAAAGATGCGTCTTTACGGGACTTATTTTTAGTATCTGCCACTACCAGCAAAAATTGAGACTAGAGCGGGAGGCCTTTCAGGAAAAAGTCCTAGACGGCTGAGCGTTTTCGGCACGGCAGGCACCCACTCGGGCAGGCTGTCTCTCAGGGTTCCTTCGCCCTTGGCTCCACCGCTTTCAGACAACGCCCAACAGCGGCCGCCAATGAGCTTCGCCGAGTAGCTGAGGGGGCAGGGCTAGTCCTTAAAGGAGCCGCGACTTCTGAGCAGACCGTAGAGTGACCCGGATGATGGCGGCCGGCATGGCCCTAGCCCTAGCCCTGTGGCTACTACTGCCGCCAGTGGGGGTAGGAGGGGCGGGACCTCCTCCGATCCAGGATGGCGAGTTCACGTTTCTGTTGCCCGCGGGGAGGAAGCAATGTTTCTACCAGTCCGCGCCGGCCAACGCAAGCCTCGAGGCCGAGTACCAGGTAAAGGGTCCCGGGCCGCCGAGCTAGCGAGGGCCGGGGGAGGGGGCGAGGCGTGCAGTGAAGCGGGGGACGTGGGCGGGGCCTGCGCGTGGAGTGCGGGGCGGAGCTAGGGGAGAGGTCAGACGGAGGGGGCGGGGCGACTCGTGGGAGCGGAAGGGGTGGGCATAGTGAAGGCGGGGCTGGAGTGGCACAGAATTAGGGGCGGGGCCATCGGAAGGAAAAAGCCATTCGGAGCAGGACTCTCGGGATGGGTGTGGTCAGAATGGTTCGGTTGAGGGGCGTGGCCCACAGGAGTTCTTCGCGGTTAGGTGAAAGGCGTGGCCCTAGAGTCCCTTTTGGGGCGGTGTCAAGCAAAGGAGCGTTACTAGGTAACCGTCCATCAAGGACCTCGACGGGGGCGTGGCCAAAGAAAGATCCCGCCCTATCCATGCTGGCGAAGGCGGGGCGAGGCTGGGGGCGGGACCCGGTGGTAGTCAAGGTGTGGGCGCTCAGGGTGCTCGCAGCCTGCTTGGGTCTGGGCCAGTTGCTTCAACCTGGGACTTCTCTGGCAGGCGCCCTGGCCCAGTTCTCTCCAGCCTTTTTTTTTTTTCGGTACCGGGAATCAAACTCACGACCTCACGCTTGCCAGGCAGGTGCCATGCCGCTGACCTATATCCCCGGCTCTCCCCCATTCTTACCTGCCCCCAGGTGATAGGAGGTGCGGGGCTGGACGTGGATTTCACGCTGGAGAGCCCCCAGGGTGTGCTGTTGGTCAGTGAGGCCCGCAAGGCGGATGGGGTGCACACGTGAGTTCAGTCCTGCTGCCTGCCCGGTTGGGTTACAGCCCGGCGCCTCCCAGGCGGTCTCGAGTTTCGGCCCTGGCTGCCCCAGAGCTCTGCCGGCCACCAGGGTCAAGTCTGTTATGTCTGGGTCTCTTATCAGGGTGGAGCCTACGGAGGCCGGCGACTACAGGCTGTGCTTCGACAACTCCTTCAGCACCATCTCCGAGAAGTTGGTGTTCTTCGAGCTCATTTTTGACAGCTTGCAAGATGACGAAGAGGTGGAGGGCTGGGCGGAGGCCGTGGAACCCGAGGAGATGCTGGACGTCAAAATGGAGGACATTAAGGTGCGCCTGGGCCGGGCTGGGCTGTGGGCCGGGCCACCCTCTCCCATGGCCAGTACTGGCAGCAGGGTGCTGGCTATTCTTCCTCTTTGGCTGGGGTCTCCACCTTGGCCCATCCAGCCCCCCCAGGTAGTGGTGTCCCCAGATTTATATAGTGCCTCATTTAAATAGTTTATTCCTAGGTGTAAAGCCTGTTGTTTGTGAGCCGGTCACACATCGCTAAGTTGCCCAGGCTGGGCTCAAACTTCCAGTCCAGCTGCCTCTGCCTTCCAGAGTGCTGGGATGACAGGTGTGCACCACCCATCTGCCGGCTCCTGTTGTAGATTGAAAACCCTATGTACGCAGTCTCCATAACCATGCCTTGCAGTAAGTCCTGTGCTCCAAGTGTTTTCCTTTTACAGGTGAGAAACTGAGGCACAGGATAGCGGAGTAACTCACCCAAGGCCACACAGCTAGCAACTGGCAGAGCTGGTATTTAAATGAAGGTAGTCTGGGCCCAGCAACTGGCCTGCTACCCAGTCCAAGTGTGTTCTGTTCACTTACTGACCCTTTCTGTGGGGTGTGCTGGGGACTGAATCCAGAGCCTCACGTACCCAGCACATCTCCACTGAGCTACCCTGCAGCCCTAGCGTTTCTTCTTTTGTTTGTTTTTTGAGATAGGGTCTCCCTGTGTAGTTCTTGCTGGCCTTGAACTCATTGTGGCCCAGGCTGGCCTCGAACTCATGACCATCCTCCCGCCTCAGCCTCTGAGTGCTGGGATCACAGGCGTGTCACCACACCCGGCTCACAGCAGAGGAAACTGATGCCCAGGGAGGTTCACTAACTTGCTGGAGGTCACACAGCCGGGGAGTCACAGTGAGGTTGAGGCTCTGTCTCACGGCCCTTCCCTCTGCCCACAGGAATCCATCGAGACCATGAGGACCCGGCTGGAGCGCAGTATCCAGCTGCTCACGCTGCTGCGGGCCCTGGAAGCGCGAGACCGCAACCTGCAGGAGGGCAACCTGGAGCGGGTCAACTTCTGGTCCGCCGTCAACGTGGCCGTGCTGCTGCTGGTGGCCGTGCTGCAGGTCTGCACACTCAAGCGCTTCTTCCAGGACAAGCACCCCGTGTGCACGTAGCTCTGCCTCAGAGAACCGACTGAAAATGGAGGGCCACGGGCCTGTGCAGCTGGGGGTGTCCCCTCCCTAGCCTCCTTTCTGCGGGAGGGGAGGCTGTTGTGGGCTGAGCGCAGTGCCCCTGGCTCGTAGGCCTGGGCCCCTTTGAGGGCCGGAGGTTGTGTACGGTGGTGCTGCTGCGGCGCTGGAGTGCGGCCCCGTGGTTCCCGCACCCCCTGCACACGTGCCTTTGTGTTTCTGCCATCCTGGGACTGAGCCCAGGGCCTCGCACTGAGCTACATCCTCGGCCAGTTTTTGTTTGGGACAGGATCTTGCTAAGTTGCCCGGCTGGGTTTGAACTTGCGAGCCCCCAGCCTCACATCCCAGGGTGCTGGGGGGACAAGCCCACGCCACCTGCGCTCACGTCTTCCAGGCGGTATCAGCTCCGCCCTGGAGGGGCCAGGAAGCGACTGGTCCCTGCCCCTCCCCACCTGGGCTCTCTGTGCCAGGTGTCGTGGGCAGGGCGCCACTGCTCGGGGGCCCCACACCTGGCCTTCTCTCCTCGGCCAGGAAGGAGACGACAGCTGCAGCGTTCTTGCCAGGAGAGACTTTATTTGACAGGACGGGCCCTGGCCCCTCGGCCCAGTGGGTGGCCGGCTGGGCCAGAGTTCTGGGGACAACTGCAGCAGGGCCCTGCAGGACTGTCTGCCCCTTTCCTGCAGGACCCCCAACAGGGCCAAGGGGCAGCTTGGTCACGGCCCAGGGACAGGAGCCTAAAAAAGAGGCCGGTCAGGCCTGGGTCCTGGAGTCAATAAATTATGGTCAGAGACCCCTGGTGTCTGGTGATTGGGGCTCAGGACACCAGCTGGGACAGAGCTGCCCACAGGAAGGGGCAGCCAGGTGGGCGGGAGGGAGGGGTCTCCACGAAGCTCAGAAGAAAGGACGGGCCGGAGCCGATGGAGGTGGTCGCCTGGCCACAAAAGAAAAACCAGAGGCAAAGCTCAGCTGCGGCCTAGCTGGGCCAGGGGGAGGGGCAGGCCCGGATCAGTGCTGCGGCGCTTGGAACCGCCAGGCCTGCGTGTCGGGCTGGCGGTGTCCCCAGACGGCACCCTGGTGAGTAAGGCCTCGGCATGGACACGGACACAGGGCCACACGCAGCCACGGAAGGTTCTTCCCTTTATTTAGTTTATTAATAGGGTACAGAGCGCAGGCACTTACAGTGGTCAAACCGAGCCAGGAGTGAGCAAGAGGTCTGCTCAGAGAGGGGCACAGGACCCCCCTGAACCCCTCAACTCGAACTGGGGGCCCAGGAGGAGGAGGGCAGAGGAGGGAGTGAGGCCAGCCTGGCGGAGACTCCAGGCCTGGCGAAGGCACCTCTGGCAGCCGAGGCGGGCCGGGCTCCGGCTGTGTGGTTAATGTTGCCGAGAAGGAATATGTACAACGTGGGCCGGGCGGGGGTCCCCCGTGAGAACCGTAACACGGCCGGGGACCCCTTGGCACCCCAGCTTCCAGATGGCCTATTCTTTGCGAGTTGCCCCAACTGGGGAGACCCCCAGCCAGCCTGGACCCCTCCTTCAAGACGGCACCTGGAGCACAGCCACTCGGCTGGTACCCGCAAAGTCCAACGCCCCAGCAGCCCCTGCCCAGGCCTTCGGTCCCTCGCACGGTGCGGTGTCCGGTGGGACGGGGAGGGGCAGGGTGCCCCGAGAGCCTGGTCCCATCACGGGGGCCAGGGTGGCGAGGGGGCCCAGGCCCCGGCGAGGGGCAGCCCGACCCCTCGGGCGGGCGGGCGGGCTTAGTCGAGCAGTGAGGGCTCGGCGGGGCGGATGATGGTGGGCCGGCTGGGCGCGGCGGGCGGCCTTCTGCTGCGGAGAGAACAAAGACGAGGAGGGGAGCGCAGTGAGGCCGGAAGCACTGCCAGCGCCGGGCCCTACCTAGGGGTGCTCTGGTGCTCCGGGTGCTGCCGAGGCGCCTGGAGGGAGCCCGCGGAACCAGGTCGTTTCCTGTGTCCCTGCGGCGGCCCGTGTGACCTGGCAAGGCCCTTTTCTGTCCCGGACCTCGGTGGGCAGGGGCGCGTGTCCCTCCGCAGTGAGAAGCCGGTGGGAGGGCACCCAGCGCCAGGGGCCCAGGTGGTACACGGTGGGGGGGACAGGCCGGGGGCTCCAGAGTCACCCTGCTGCCATACTGTGACTCCCGGCAAAGGCCCTGGGCCTCCGTTTCTCAAGCAGCTAAACCCGGGTTTTGCGGCCCGCTTGGCCGGGGTAGAGGGAGCACGCTGGGGGAGGGGCAGGCTGGGGACACCACCCAGGGCGCAGGGGGCGGGTGTGACCTTACCTGGGCACTCCTGGGGGGATGCCGGGGGGCACCCGTGCTGGTCGGGATGGGATCTGCGGTGGAGCCGAGAAGGGGTCGTTGTTGGCAAACACCTGGGTCCCAGGCCGGGACGGGATGGGGGGTGCCGAGAAGGAGGCCGCAGCCCCCACGGGCATGGGCAGCAGGGGGGGCCCCGGCGTGGGACCCCGCACTGCGGGAGGCCGGCCCGGAGGGTGCACGCTGGACACAGGTCGGCGCTGTGGAGTGGGGCTGTGGGGTCGGAGGGGAGCCATGAGTGGGGATCCCTGCCTCCCACGCCCTCCCAGGCCATGCGGGTCTCCCCGGTGGACACTGCCCTACCCGGCTGCGCCAGGGCCTCCTGCTGGCCAGGGCTCAGACCCTTCAGACCCTTCCAACCTTCAGGTCACCCGAGTCTCGGTGCTGGGCCCTCTCCCCTCAGGATTCCCCAGCAGCCCTCTACCACGGTGGCCCAACAGCTCTGCTCCGTCAGGGTCCACGGCCCCCCGCCCCCGTGCTGTAGGAAGCTGACCCCGGTAGCCAGCGCTGGCCCCATCTGTCCCCTGGGTGCCCCTGGGGCGCCTCCCACACCTGTGGCTCGCCCCCGTCTGCAGCCAGGTGTCATCGACCGGCGGGGGCACAGGTGTGGACACGGTGCTGGTGCTGATGTCGCCGATGATAGTGAGCGCCTCCTTGAGCGCGTGGTACATGCGGAGCATGTCGTCCCGCCGCTGCGCCTGGTCGGCCGACTCCTCCATGAGGCTGCTCTGGTCAGCCGACGAGTACAGGTAGGCCAGCAGCTCGTGGTGGATGAAGGCCTTCGTCTGGGGACACGGGCGGCAGGTCAGCTAGCACCCGGGCCCGCTGCCCAAACACGGGGAGGCCGGGTTGGGGGACTCTGACCCCGCCAGGCACAGCACAGGACTCGCACGTACTGTCACCTCCGGAGTCCCGCTGGGCTGCCACTGAACCCTCCTGCCCGTCTCACAAGATGCGGGCCTGGGCTCAGGCAAGGACTTGGCCCCCAGCCCGGCTCCAGGGCGTCTTAGGAACCACTTCCTAGCATCTCCCCTTCCCTCTGCTGGCTTCTGACTGCCTTTTCTTGAGGTGCTACTGGTTTCTGCTCTTACTACTTCTGGGACTGAATCCAGATGCCCCGCCATGGAGCTCTATCCCCTGCCCTTTTTATATTTTTTGTTTTGAGGCAGGGTCTGGCTAAATCACTAAATTGATGAAGCTGGGCTCAAACCTGCCATCCTCCTGCCTCAGCCTCCCAGAGGGCCAGGATGACTGGGGTGCGCCACCATGCCCAGCCCTCTTGGCGTTTTCTGAGGCAAGAATAAAAACTGACGGAGAAGTGAACCTGCGGTGTTGACTCTCACTACCGGCGCAAGGCCCACCCGCAGGCCCCGGGGCCGCCCCGGGCGGACGCGACACTCACGTTGTTGATCATGAGGTGCATGATGGTCTTTGGCATGAGGTCTCGGATGGACTTGTTAATGATGGCCACGTACGAGTCCACCAGGTTGCGGATGGTCTCCACCTGCCGCTCCAGCTGCGGGTCCATGGAGAAGGTGTCCTGCCCCACGTCCTCGTTCTCCGCCTGCAACACAGCAGCAGTGGTGGGGGTGACACAGCCCTCGGGGGCGGGGTGAGTCGCTCTCCCTCAGGGCTGCCCGGGGCCCTGTCCACACGCGGCCCCAGCTGGGCGACCTACTGGACTCTCAAGACGCCTTTCTGCTCTGCGTGCAAGTGGGCACCGGTCTCACACTAGCGCTGGGCCTCCCCTTTCTGTCCCGGAAGGGGACACTTGGCTAAAGGGCACCATGGCCGGTAGGATGGCTCCTCACCTGGTCCTTCTCGGGGTAGACGCCGGCGCGCAGGAATGAGGCCTTCCAGCTGTCCACGTCCTCCTGGGAGTCACAGGCCAGCTCGATCTGCCGCAGGTCCTTGTAGACGTTCCTGGCGCGGGAGTGAGGGGGGGTGCTGTGGCCCGATCACAGGCCTGGCTGACCGCCAGGGGTCTAGCGCTCGACCAGGGGCTCAGAACTGATCTGGGCTCCAGGACGCTACCTGCACCTCCCCCGTCATGCTGAGCTGTTGCTCAGACATGGCATCTACTGCCCATAAAACAGCAGTGCAAGCTGCATGTGATGGCACACGTCTGTGGCCCCAGCATTCCGGAAGCTGAGGCAGGAGGATCACAAGTCTGAGGCCAGCCTGGGTTACACAGTGAGACCCTGTGTCAAAACAAAAACAAAGGCCCCACGCAGCGCCCCACAGGGCAGGGTCTGATGCAGAAGCATCCGTGGCTATCTTTCGTCGGCTCTGGAGACTACTGCCCTGGGCAATGCCTGTCCATCAGGTTCTCCTGGGGGGACCCACACGCTTGACTCCTGAGCCCTGCTCTGGAGTGCGGCTCGCAGCAAGGGGTCTGCAGGGAGCCAGAGCGGCAAGGACCACCAGAACTTCCTGCCACAGCGTGGATGTCCCCTGCCTGTGCAGTCCGGTGACAGCCACAGGAGGCTTTGGCAAGATCGTTTATTTTCCAGCACTGGGGACTGAACCCAGGGCTTTTAAGGCTTTTGCACTAAATTATATTCCAAGCCCTATTTATTTACTTAAATTTTGAGACAGGGTCTAAGTTGCCCAGGTTGGGCTCAAACTTGTAACCCTCCTGCCTCAGCCTCTGTTATGATTGATATTGTGTCAACTTGGGGAGTCTAGAGGTTTGGCTAAGTGACTCGGCAGGAAGCCAGGGTGCTTACTTTGTATACATCCTGAGCCTGTGGAAGAGGAGGGCATGCAGATTATGTGAGAGCTACACGCCCCTTAGGTGGGGGTAGCCTGTTTACAATGTAAGGCAGGGAAAGAAGCTGCTTGCCGCCATTCCTCCCTTTTGCTCTGGCTGGTTTGCTGTGCGGCTGCCATTCCCCCCTTTGCTCTTGTTGCTTTGCTACCTTGTGCCTTGGAGCCAGCCGAGTATGGACTGAAACCTCCACAAACTGTAAGCTAAATAAATCTTTCCTTCCTTCATTTTGGGCGTTGGGTATTTTGTCTCAGCAAGGAGAGAAAAGTAACGGAGATAGCCTCTCAGAGTGCTGGGTTGACAGGCGTGCACCACTGCACCTGGCTAAGGAAGTGAATTTTAAATTTTATTTCATTTTGATTAATTTACATGTAAATAGCTACAAGTGGCCAGTGGCTATGCTAACGTAAATCAGAATTTTAGATGGTGACTGATTCCTGGGGATGCAAGGACAGGCTTGGGAAGTGTCAGGTTCAAGTGGATGAGAGGGTAGCCCCAAGGCTGGAAGCAAGATAGGAGGGACCCAGTGTTGGGGGACAGTGTTCTACAGCCAGGGTTTCTGGCATATGCCTTCATCATTTCCTGTCCCACACCCAGGTAGGGCCAAGCTAGTTGAGCTGCCCCTCAGAGCCCACAAGTGAGACATGGTTGCTCTTTCTCCACCTTTCTTCTGCCTGGGATGTCATGAA